TTGCTAATTAAAAGAAACAGCAATTAGAAATCTAAAAGTATGAAAGAAAACACCAATTATGTAAGGAAAGGTCATTAAAATGTATAAGGAAATATTATTAGTACTTGATCATTATTAATATGTAGATAACTGCGGGACATTACACACACACACACACAAACTATGACAGTGCCAGGAAAATACAAAAAAATAGCAATTTTCAGATTCGTGCATGGTTTATGTGTCTCAAAGTGGCTGCTTTTCTATGGGCAGGACAGGTTGGTGCAAGGCAGCTTTGCCAGATTTTGTGTGTTTGATACCTGGTTGTTTAGGTAATTGGGAGGTGGTTGCTGGTTCGGTGAGCTTCCTGGCACTGTCCTTTATAATTTCCCACAATGCCTTCATGGTTTTTATTCCAGTGGCTTTGTCTTTCCTGTCCTTAGGGTTAGGAAAAAAACTGGTTTCATCAGCAGTCTTTTTGGGGGGGATGCTGGCCGTGCCGTGTAAGCTCCTGCCACCATCCTCACCCCCGCACCTGTGCTTGCTGATGGCCATGTGGCCCTGCGCTATAAGTGAGCCCAGGATCCTTGCAAGGCTGAAAAAGGTCACCAGACTCGCTTATAGTGCAGGACCACGGCAGGCTGCTCCAGATGGCCTGCCACCGTCCCCCTGCCCCGCGCTTAGTTGCAGCTTACTTACCTCCTCGGAATCGGCAGGCAGCAATAGAGAGCCAAGCAGGAAAAAAGGGAAGTGGGTTTAGATAGAGTTCTTAGAGGCGGGCGGGGCGATTGGTGAGCCAGCCAATCAGTGAGCAGTGGGCGGGGCTAGGATAGTATGGATGGGCGGGGGGAGCGAGCAATGGAGCAGCTTCTGGATGGGCAGGGTTAAGTGAGCGAGTGACAGGGGCAGGGCAGGCAACTTACTTCCAGGTCCACCAGTGGAACCTCTTCTAACCGGTTAGGTAGATTTGACGAACCAGTTCTACTGAACCGGTGTGAACTGGTAGGAAACCACCTCTGCAGTAAACGGTAAAAGCTGTCTGAATCAGGAGTTCCAAATTTTGGGTACCTAATCTTTGGAGTTTCTTCCTGATATCAGGGGGGCTTTTGTCCCACAAAAGTAATTTTCAGAAATACTTTATTCTGTGGGGCTTCTAGGTCTAGGTCTGTGAAGCACCGAAAGCCATCTTTCAGTCGGATTAAAAAGTCAGTTGGGCTTTCTTTTGGGTCTTGCATAATTTGGTACACCTGATGAAAAATTACAGTTTTCTTGAGACCCTGAATAATAGCTTCCAGGCCCTCCCTCAGAACTTCCATGCCTATAGGGTCATTGGCATTAATTTCAAAGGCTGGAGACAATAAATCTGCAATCTGGGGCCAGTGTCCTAATGGAGGATTGTTAATGGTTGCCCTTTTGGATTTATAATGTTTTTCTATAGCCTCCAAAACGTGCTGCTTGTGTTCTGGGCCCAAGAAGGCAGCCAGCAAAGTATGCAGGTCAGGCACTGTTGGTCTGTGGGTTGCCACAATTCTCTGGACCAGTTCTACATATGATTGAGGGGCTTCTCTATATGGGGGCATTCCCCTTTACCAATTAAACAAATCACTTGCACATGAACAT